GGGGATGAAGCAAAGATGAAACTGCCGGTCAGTATCTTTACCAGTTTATCGAAAATTTGTCTACGAAATCTATATTTGTGATAGGAACAGCTGAAGTACCAACAGATATGACTGATTTATATATCTCAAAAGACCATATAGCTTATTGTTCTAATGAAACGAAAAATATCCTTTCACAATAAATGGAGTTCCATGCGTCTTTTGAGTAGATTATCGGATCTCTTCCTAATCCGTGAAGGATTTGTTGTTAACTACGGGTGCTATGCCTTGCGTCTACGCACTTTTACATAAAATCATAATTTTGTAACAATATGTAATTATAAGATAAACAGTGGATAGTGATTTGATAACAGTATGCAGCAAATACTTTTTACACAATGTTCCTCAAATTTGTTTCTTTTTTCAAAAAGAACATAATGTTCCTAAATAACTGTCATGCCTCTACTATTGCTTATAATCTATGATGTACGACGAATGGTCTTTTGGGGATTGAGTGGGTAATTGCTAGTTCGGTTATTGAAGAAATTTGGGCTTGGGATGACTTATGTATTAAAAGAAACATAGCAAATCTTACCACCTCTTTGACTATTTTTTGAGTAATTTGGAAAGAAAGAATTTCTCGTGCTTTTGAAGGTGTTGAGAGTAGTTTGTATAAATTGAAAGAGAGATTGATTCATTATCTTGGGTTTATTTTATTAGATTATGATATTATTAGTGATGAAAATTTTATAAATGTTATTAATATACTAACACTATTATAAATCTCTTGTCATGAGTGATATCCCCTATTAATACCTTATTAATATATACTGCATACTTTTTATCTCCAAAAAAAAAAAAATGTCATTACAAAGCTACTGTAGGATGCATGGTGTATCCGAGGTGTTAACATCTCAAGTGGAATTACAAATCGGGTACCTTGATTTGAAATTTTAAATCAATCAAGAAATATTCCGAAGAGCAAGTAAGAAAAGAACTCAACGTAGGAGACAATGTTGCAATAATTAGATCCTCATGATATCCGAAAGAGGAACTTGTCATCCTAGAAACTTGGCATATCTTCTACTAACAGCTTGAACGTGCAACTTCAGTTTTCTTGACTTCTGTCTTTCTTTTGTTTCTTTTGTACAGGTTCTGATGCAGTGGCATCTTAACAGATCCGCTTCTGTCCCGATTTTCTTTCGTCCTTTACGAAAACTTAAAATGGCTGTAATTTGCTTCTCATGTGTTGAAAAAAGTCTTTATCTGGTTTGTTTGTGTTGTACTTTTAAATAATAGGTTTATAACATTGGGTGCACGCATAAGCTTTGCTTTACCCTCTCCATCTATCACTTGGCCTGCAACCAAGTGTTTTAAACTATCCTCGTGGAATGTCATTATTTTGTGGGTAAACAAATTAAATAATTGTGGAATTGGGGTGGGGGAAAATCTTCCTGTTTGTTTTATAATTTTTCTTTTCTAAGCAAGTTTAGGTTTTTGCATATAGTGACGTTTCTTCTTATTTCTCTCCCTCCCCCAACAAATTTTCCCCTCAATTTTCAGTGAATAAGATGCTCGCTTTTAGGGTTGAAAGGGGACAACTTTTACGCTTTTTCAGTTTAATTTTTATTTAAAATTTATTTTTTATTTTTATATTACTATTTTGATTTACATATTTACAGTATATTTGTTTTCTGAGACAATACTGATTTTACATNATATTTTGTTATGAGTCGGTATCACATTCATAAATAATTTATATATGACAATCATACGTGATTATTTAAAATTAATAATCGTCAGAATGTAAATTAAAATAATCACTTATTCTCAAATAATAATAATAAATAGTAAAACATATATTAATACGTGATGTTACATACAGTTAACTATTGATAACAACATTTAAAAATAAAAAATAAACTATCCAAAATATAGTAGAAGTTAACAACATAATTCAAATATATAAACTATATACCACTTATTCCAAAATAATAATAATAACAATTCAATATAACAACCAGACAAGAAGACAGTAATATCAAAAATATTTTCAAAGATACCTTATAAAATTCAAAGTAGATTCCATAATTATATCATTAAATATGTTTTTTTTCCAACAAATTAGGTTTGCTTTTTCAAGTCCTTCGTTGTTTTTGCAATTAAGTAAAAAAGGGTGGAACAAAAAGTTTACACGGCTGAGCTTCGTCTTCGTCAGCAGCATGTTGGGCTTACTATTTAATTTACAGCTTCAACTTGAAAGCGGTCATGCTGCTGTTTCTTCGCTTTTCTTTCTTTGACCGCTGCTCTCCATTCTTCACCATCTATTACCTTCCGTACCCGACTGTCTCTCTGATAGACCTTGTTTGAATCAGGATGGTATTTTCCAGGGGATTTTCTCGGATTTCTTCGAGGATTCTGAGAAAGAGTAGCTTGTTTGGTTGCCCTTCTTTCATCCCTCCTCCAGCTCACTTTCTGTCCAATCAGACTTCGTCTCTCTCCGATTCTACTCCAAAGGTAGCTTTTTTTATGTTTCGTTTCTCTCTTCTTGTCGATCTAGTGTTTTGGAAAACCCCGTTTCTTCCCCACTTCTCTTTGTGGTTGGTTTGATTTTTGTTAATTGGGTATTTTTCTTTGGGCTAGAGATGAATTGGGTTTTCTTTGTTGTTAGAAAATGCGTGTGTTTGCGCCTTTTTTCTTAGCCTGGAATAAGGGAAGACAAAGAGTAAAGGCGACGATAACATGGGGATTGGTATTCGATATTATAATAAATGAAGTGCTGGGAGTTTGGAGTATATTAGAAATTGACCTTCAGGCAACCTTCATTTAGAAAAGTCTGTCTGTTCTTGTGTTTATTTTATTTTGTAAGTTATGAGCCCTTTTTTGGCCTATGTTTATTGAGAAAATGTGCTTCTTAAGAAATATTTGCAACTGGTGAATTGATTTTGGTGGGGTGATGAAGGACCTTTTCGAGATATTACTCAAGGTTGAGAAAAGAACTATGCCTGACTATTTCTTGTAGTGGTCATGCTGATAAGAGCATATGGACAGTTGTGTAGTTACCTTCTCTTTTAATTTATTCATTTTTTATGTTGATCGTGGGGAGATATGCTCCTATTACTAATTCATGGTACAAGAAAGGTTTGGTTGTTTGGTGCAACAAGTTGGTACTTGTCCTTTAAATGACTTGCTTCACTTTTTCTCATTTTCTGTCAATGGAATTGCTTTACATGGAACGAAATGAGAAGGAAGCAAATATAAGATACAAGAGTTTGTGGAGGTAAAGATGTGAAAGTTATTGGAAATTTGAGTTATATGACTGTATATAGTTTGCTCAGTTGATAAGATCATTTTTTGAAGTCAGGATGAAATTTTCTGGAATGTGGTTCGTCTGAGAGTTCTAAAATCTGTTTAATTAAATATTTTTGAGGAAATTTGTCAGGTTAGATTTGAAGGGATTAGAAGATTGACTTATGCAAGTGGGATAGTTTAACGTGTAGATTTTTCTACTCATTCCATTCTCTATATGCTAGTTATAGACTGATACGTTGTGGTAGCTATTTGAGTGTTTTTTTTTCCAGTAAGTATAGGTGTAACTAAAGGTGATGAATATGTATATTCATTTGACATGTGATGACCAAATGTTTTCATTTGACATGCGATGACCATTTACATTTTCCTTGTTTTTCTTCCCTGTGGGTGATAGTTGACCATCTTTACTTGTTATTCCTGTGGATGATCAGTAGGTTTTCGGTTGCAGAGAAACTTACTTGTGGAGTTCTCATGCTTTCTATGGTGGTAGGCATCTAAGCTATCATCAGAGCAGCTCCATAATTGAGGTCAGGTGTAGCATTTTCATATTTGTTCTCGATGTTCGGTTTATGCCATCATTTTTTATCTTCAGTTTTCCACTTGTTTTTCTAATGTGAAGTACGAATGCCCTCGAACCCGAATATCTCATCTTCTGCTTTTATACTCAATTTTGTTACTGTGCACAAGTTTTTAGTAGTGTGGTAGTAAGGTTACTCTCTAGTTGCCTTTTCATGGTCATAGCTTTAACCTGCAACTTTAGATTTTTTTTTGGTTTCTTTATATAAATATCCCCATACATTTTGCTCTTATAATTAAATTTTTTGGGTCTTTACCCTTAGTACGAGATATATATTTGTACTCTTCATTTTATCTTGTCCCCTTTTCACTCTATTGAGATATGAAACACTGTTTATCAGGAAGAGCTTGATCCATTCTCACTTGTTGCTGATGAGCTATCACTTGTCGCTAATAGATTGCGGTCAATGGTTGTTGCCGAGGTATCTAGTTAGTGAAACTATCTTTTATGTGTAATTTATTTGCATTAAAGCTGGGGATTTTCTGTCCAAGTGATTTTTGTTTGGTGAAAGAGGCTGGATTTGCTATTACCTAACACATTTGAATGGTTATCATTTAGGTTCCTAAGCTTGCATCAGCAGCTGAGTACTTCTTCAAAATGGGAGTAGAGGGAAAAAGATTTCGTCCCACGGTAACAGTTTTAATGCTTTAGTTTGTAACTATATCGACTATAGCTGTCTATGTTCACTGTGAATTTGATTACCACTACCAGATTTGATGCATCTCGGATTTGCGGCTTGGTTCTTGCTACTCAAAAATTATGGTCTTGTAGCTTTAGATACTCCTAGAGATGAGACTCTAGGCAAATTCCATAAGGCCCAAACTTATTATTTAATTTATCTAAGGCTGTCATATCAACATTCATTACTTTGAAATGTTAATCTAAACTCAGCTAAGCCTTAATTTCAAGGAAGTTAAAGGAAGTTATGTTATGCCTTACTGTTAATACTTTCATTAGTTGTGTTTGACATGTCATTTTCTGTTTCTCTTGTCATCCTTTTTCATTTCCTAATATTTTAAACATGGTGAAAGGAGATAAGGCTTAATGCTCATTGCAGGTTTTATTGCTGATGGCAACAGCTTTAAATGTACATATACCCAATCCACCTCCTGTTGGAGAGGGCGATACTTTGACAACTGAACTACGTACAAGACAACAGAGTATAGCAGAAATCACAGAGATGATCCATGTCAGTTAGATTTCTTTTATCATCTGTATTTACTCCCTGAATCATATATTTCTTCCCCATCAACAATTCTGGTGTTGCCACTTTTAAACTAATCATGTTCTTGTATAGGTGGCAAGCCTTCTGCATGATGATGTCTTAGATGATGCAGATACAAGACGTGGTATCGGTTCATTGAATTTTGTAATGGGAAATAAGGTGCTTATTGTTTCCTGTTTTTTCAAAATTGGAAGTTCTACATCAGCCGTAAAAATAGGGAATAAAAAGTTCTAAAGAATTTGTGGAAGAGTTATCATTTTACCGTCTTTTCTAGCCTTTGTTGACATGTATTGTTGTCTACATCACCATGTTATGACTGATAAAGTGGATAAATATGTTATAATATATATTTTTATATATGCATATGTATATATCAAGGCTCTTCTTCAGTGTCTGGCAGTAACAAAATCTAAAGAAAATATGTTGGTGTTCAATTTTTTGATTCACTTTTCATGCAGTTAGCTGTATTAGCTGGAGATTTTCTGCTATCTCGTGCTTGTGTGGCTCTTGCTTCTCTGAAGAATACAGAGGTATCATACTGGATGTCATCATTCATATTACCGCTCCTGATTTGACAAACTTTTATGTTCCACATATTAGTTCTTTATTCATCACATTCAAGGATCTATAGTTAACTTACTTCAACAAAGCTTTTCTAGCAACTTCTTGGTATCCTTTTTCATCTTTGTTCTTAGTTGCATCTTTGTTCTTAGTTGCATCTTTTTATATAAGCTGATGCTTAGTCTATGGCCACCTGATAGTCTACATTGGTCAGGATTTTATTGTATTTTCCTAGTCCAGCTATATATATATATGCATCCAAATTCTAGCTGTTTCTGTATTTGCTAACTTATCATCTGTGCTATTACTTTGTGCGTGTAGGTTGTGTCCTTATTGGCGACAGTTGTAGAGCACCTTGTTACCGGGGAAACCATGCAGATGTCTACAACTTCTGAGCAACGTTGTAGGTACAACTGTTTTGCAGCTTTCTCATATATAAGCTTTAGGCTCAGTTCTCACGGCGTAATGTGTGAATTTGACTTCCACGGTCCTGTGAAGAAAATAAATTAAGATTTGAACCTTTTATTTCCTATTGCCGCATTTTTAAACCCTTCTGCTGAATTCAATTAATTATTTTACTCATAAACCTGATGCAGAGTGGTAGTGCATGAAATTATTGGTTGTGAATTTCTTCTTCATAACATAGACTGATGTTATGATCCCAAGGATTCCAATGA